CTGAGAAAGAATGGCCTGAAGCTCGGGAAGCTTGGGCCAGGCCTTTTCAGCGAAAGAGCAGCAGGAGTAAGCTGAGATACAAGGGAACGCATCAACAGTGCCGTCAACAAACGGTTCTTTTAAACACTTCGGAAGTCACGAATGAGCCACATGCATAAAGGCCAGCCGCAGTCACAAACACGAGAGCCACATTCAGGAAACAGCAAACGAGCCTCCAAAAGCCCCGTTTGCACGGTGCAAACGTCAGCATGGAGGCGCTTGCTGAATGTTGCTTTCGCGTTTGGTGAACGTGGCTTTCTAACGTCGAATCTACGAAGGGCTTGGGAAGGTGTCAGGCGGTGATATTCGGTTGGTGATTTCGGCTCTCGTCGTTTCCTGAATGTGGCTTTGGCGTTTGTTGAACCTCGCTTTGCAAACGTTGAATTTAAACACGGTGTTGGGCTATGATGTTCCGATCGTACGGCGAATCACTTCGGGCTTAGTGCTGGAATATTGCTTGTCGGAATGTTCCCCTCCCCGAACCAGCTGAAGAAGAGGAGAGCTAGAGAAAGAAGAGGGCGATGAGAGAAGGGAGAGAGATGTCTCAGAACGTCTCTCAAAGTGACTTCCTTTGTCTTTCTGAGGCGGAAATCCCACGACTCGCACCGCTCCCCGGCTGCACACCTGGCATCTGGGGTCTCCTCGTGTTCTCCTTTTGGTTGTCTCCTTCTTGCTTGTGCACTTGACTTTACCTTTCAGAGATCTTCAGGGTACGGAGGGGGAGGTTTCGGGCAGGTCGGATGGACGTGGTTCTCAAGTCACGAAAGCTAGCTCCTTGGAGCTCGCGAGAGTTGTCGTTTACAAGAATTCTCTCTAGTGTTCAGCTGGGTCAAGAAGCGACTCCGACCCTTAAGTGGTCTGAAAATCAGAGAGATAAAGGGCTGTGGAGGGGGGGGGGGGCCCCCCCCTCCCCCCCCTTATAGGATTGACAAAATCAATCTCAAGGTGTCCCCCCCCCCTCCTTTCAGGGTCGCCTTAATTGATTTCTGGGGAGGGGGGGGGGGGGGGCCCCCCCCCCTTTTGGCCCCCCCACCCGCCCCCCCCTTTTCAGGCTTCCCCCTCCGTCTTGGTCAGGCCCTGTTGTCGAGCTGTAAGGCCCCGGGATGAGCATTCGAATCCGCAGCTTCCGACAGCTCTTGACCGCTGCGTGTCCCATCATGTTTCGTTTTGCTTACACCGATTCGGCAGTCCCGTCCTGCTCGGCTGCGCTGCTGCGCCCACACTTCTCCTGCCTGACTCGAAAAAAGCTTGCTTGTCAGCCGCGTTTCTAGCTTTCGTGGCCCCGATCTCAAGTCACCCGTTTTTTTAACGTTATCGAGAATTCGAGGGGCTATTCGAGTGTCTCGAGGAACCAATGCAGATCAGGCCTCCGCCAGGGCCGAGCCCTATAAGAATCCGTAAGACTCCTAAGTGCCCGTTTGGGCCGAAGGACTGGGAAGAAGCAAAAACAAAGGGGGGCGTGCTCTTACATCGGAAAATTAGCTAGTTGTGTCTGCTTAGAGTGTGTTTTCAGAGTGTACTTCTCAAGCTAGTAACGTGCGGCCCAATGTGTGATGAATGCGCTTCGTTTGACCCCGCCCCCCCTCCTCCCGGCTGGAAAAGACACGCTACTTTTGAAATCGAGAATTCCACAGACTCAGAGACAGCGCCGAGCAATGCCATTGCCCCTTTGTTCAAAGCCGGCAGCAGGTACTCGAGTCCGGCACTGAGTGAGTTCGGAGAGTTGGGTTGGCTTGGCTCGAAGTTTAACCTGAAGTTGGGGTTTAACGGTTTAGATGATTTAGCCGCCCCAAAACCGAAAACAATGTCGAGCTTGGCTTCTTCCAGGCGGTCCGACCAGGTTTCTTCCAGTGGGCCCAGCCTGCGGCGTGCTTTTTCGGCCCCCTCCATTCCCTCAAAGGCGGTCAGAAATCATAAGCTGCCTTCTCACCGCCCGTGCTGAGATACGGCAAGTCAAGCCTGCCACGGACATGTCGGCCCCATCGACAATGAGCCTCAGACTGCAGTTGTCGGTTGGTGAAGTCGTGGGAACCGAATTCGCCCCCCCAAAATATGATGTTCCCAACACGCATCATGGAGCGTTGAAGAGGCTTTTCTTGCACACAAAGGGTGCAAGCAAAATGTAAGCTTGGGGGCTCGTCCATGGTTTCGCAAGCAACGCAGCAAGGAAGATGGACCACTTCCGGACCAACCTCAAGAAGGATTTCTGCACATTTTCTGCGCTTGCCGTCTCAATCGTCTCAACATGAGCTATTTGAGACGCTTGTATTCCCCGATGGTTCGGGCCTTCCCTGGCGCGCATCCGTGTTTTGCGGGCTTTGACAGACTGGACAGAGACCTTATCCATTGGGCCACACGACCTCTTGCAGAAACTGCAGTCAGGGCGGCTCTGCGTCCTGTTTCTTAGTGGCAGAATGCTGAGGGAATGAAGTTATTTTGTCTTCCTGTCTGCAGATGAGCATAGTTTTTGGCCGACTTTATCATTCCAAAGAGTTGACTGCAGATCAGCAGGTCCCTGGCTCAAATCCGGGTGTTCCAAGCAGCTGTTGAACACATAAAAACTTGCTAAGCTATCCTCTGCTTCTCTTGTTCTTCGCCGTTCAACCTTAAGCGGTGCAGGAGCGGCTTCTAGAAGACCGCTACATGGAGATCGATAGGCCGTGTGGATTTGGGGTGGTCAGGGTTTGGTGGAGCTTCGTATTTACAGTATGTAGAGGACCAAGTTTGTGGAAGTGGCCAAGTGATGTGGGGGTTTGATTGCAGGCGTATGACACGCATGATGCATGCAGCTTTGAGTGGCTTTGGGCTCGGTTTTTGCCGCAACGCTTTTGGACGAACACTGCTGCAAAATGGGGGAGGGGAGGGTGGTAAGAAAGCCAAATCAAAATCAATCCAGCTTCAAGAAAGCACGGTTGGGCTCCCAAACCCTGAATAACACATGCACCTCGGCGAACCTCTCGATCTCCTTGCCGTCAGCACAGGCCCCCTTTTGTGAAGAGACTCTGTTTGTATGATGTCATGAGACCCGCTTTGCCCCTGGCCCTGCAACCTCCAGACCTTGATCCGAAACGAACCTTCCCGAGACCATCCGAACAAAGCTGCAATTCAGGGAAAATCGGGTGCTTCTGAAGAAGATGTTCGAGCCCTGGTTTGCGCTCGCGGGTGCAGGGCGCCAACTTCGAGGTTATGCTCTGTGCTCGTGAAATCCCTAGATCGCCTCATAAGGCTTGCCCGTGTTGTGACAAAGGCGAACTTGCCAGCATGTCTTAGCTTTCAGTCCACGGGTTGGCCTCCATAAAGTTGGCCAAGTGCTCCCAAGCCAGCAAAGCCATAACCCCATGAGGCCGCAGGCCGCCCAAGCCTCGAAGACTTGACATTTTTGCCTCAGGTCAGAGGCCATGCGCAAGCCGGCGCCCAAGCCGTGAGCAATTTCCTCTCATTTCGGCTTGCTTGTAGGTCTTGTGTCTATAGGTGTGAGAGGCTTTGGTCCTTGCATGTTGCGTGCTTTATGGTCCCTTGCCCTACTTGGCTGAAGATTTCGAAGTGCCGAAAAGGCCCAACCCTTACGTGGTTGAGAAGAAGGAGGCCGCCCCACCTTCCTTGCCGGGTGCCCAGGATGGTTTTTTTGGACCCGAACCCCTCGCCGGGCTTCCGCGCTGTGTGGTTTCAGGATTTTGGGGCACCTGGTCTTGCATAGCCAGCTGGAACCCGAGAACACTCGATGTTTATTGAACCCCGAAAGCCTCCGCCATGGGCAACGGCGATCGAAATGCCACATGATACCTTTCACGTTCTTGCGGGTTCTTGACCAGGGCTACTGCTGGCGCTTGAGTTGCAGCGTTCCCAGACGATAGGGCTTAGACCTTAGACTTTATGTTGTGTCACTTTCTGACCACCCTAGTTCTTGGCCCGAAACCGACACCCGGACTCCGTGGTGCGAAGCGCTGAACCGTGCTGAACCGCTGACACAAGTCCTGACACGCACACGCACACACCTACACATACACATACACACAAAATAAAATAACAACAAGAAGAAAAGCCGCTCACCAGCCCCCAGGAACAGGTCTGGCCGGAAAATGGAGATGATCAGGAGCACCCTTTTTTTTCTCTAGCTTTTGAATGGAGGTTTCCCTCCTCTCAAACATCTCAAGTTGTTCGCTTGCTCGCTGGGTTTTGGATTGAGTTTAATATGTTTGTAAGCGGAAGGCGAATATGTGGGAGTCAAGCACGTTGGGCTTGGCTCGACTTCAGGGTTGGACGATGTTGGAAGCTTCAGGGCTTTTCGGGGCCAGATCGTGCCCTGAGAGCATGCAGAAAATGCCGTAAACCCCAGCGCCAACGGCTCCTCGCAGCACATGCAGCAGCTTGTGCCAGGATTACCAAAGACAATGCCCGGCTGCTCCGGTCTATCCAGAAGGCAGGGCCCCAGAATCGACAGGAGGAGCACACGATCCGGAAAGCTTTTTGCAACCAAGACACCTAGAAGTAAGCACCCTGAAACCGAACAAACTGACGTCAACCCTCAATCTGCACAATTACAAGGGCGACCCAAATCTGGAAACACACTGTACACATCCCAACAAGCTGATACGATCGAGAGCCCTCTGCCCAATGGCCCAGCTGGGCCCAACGTGGCTCAAGCGATCTCTAGCGGCATGGTGTGCAATTAGAACTCAGCTTAGGTAGGCTTCTTGACACAGCTTTGGGGTTTCATTGCTGTTGTTGACGCGATCGTTTGCGCTGTGTTGACGGCATTTGAAGGCTGCCTCAAATGCAGTCTTGGAGTGCTGTAGAGATTTGTAAAGTGTGAAAAGTTGTGCCTTTAACTGTTAACTCAGTCTTCGGCTTCTAGGGTCTCAGGCCAGTGTATTCGCTGGGCCCTCTTTGCCGCAACAGAAGCACTTCTTAATCTTCCAGGCTTGGGTTTGCATGCCTATCCAGAAGTCGGTGGTTGAGCCATGGCAGCCCTGATGTCGTTGAGCAGGTGGGGGCCAGGTAGGCAGGTGGAAGGAGATCGGCAGCGTCAGGGCGCCAGGGCGCCAGGCTGCTTCATTCAGCTTCATTCAGCTTCTGGGCAAAAGTGGGCTGATACCTCAAGAAGAATAATAAGAATAAGAATACTAATAATAACAATGATGATGATCATATATAATAATTATATAATAATAATAATAATAATAATAATAGTCTGCGATGCTGCGAACAGGGAGCGGGAGCTTCGTCTGGGCATACTGCCCTCGGAGTCGGAGTCCGAGGCGCGCAGACGTTGGTGCCATTGGAATGCCCCCCCCTGTATGAGGGTTTAGGGTTTAGGGTTCAGGGTTTAGGGTTTAGGGTTCAGGGTTCAGGGTTCAGGGTTTAGGGTTATTTGCGGGAATGGGCGCCAGGTTCGACTTTTGTCATTTTCCAGGGCTGGCAGGAAGTGAACAGGTCATAGTGCTCTCCCAAAGCGGCGGTCCGTGGGGCTGCTCCAGGAAGTGGATGGCATGCCAAGCAAGCAGAAGACACGATGGCACCTGGGACTGCTTCATCTGCCGGCTCAACTGCATATCAACTGCCCCAATGAATGTCCACATGATCTTCAGTCATCGAGTCTGCTTGAATATGGGACCGTGATTTCACATGAACTGCTTGAACTCAACACCGATAGCTGCGAGCTTGCGCCTGACAAGACATGACGCGTCATAAGCTCTGCACAGAGTCTGAAAGTTATGTCTTCAAGTCGTGCATGGAAGTTAAGGTTTGGGAGTTTACTTCTGGTTGCTTGTTAATTGGATCAATCAAATGCCTAACACGTGGTATCCAAACCCTCCAATGTAGTGGTTGCACCTACGTCCGGCCCCCAACAGCTGCAAATAGCGAGTGCACCGTACGTATCTTGAGCTTCTGAATACCGTACTTTACATGAGTTTTCTGCAAACGAGGCAGTTACAAGCAAGACAACAGTTCGCGAAAGCAAGAGGCCCCCAGAAAAGAAAAAAAAAAAAAACACACACACACACCTGACAGAACAAACATGATCCATTCATGCTCGAGACCAGGGCGTTCGTGGGTTCCGCTCGGTCATGTAGGTTGATGTAGAGCAAGGTCGGCCAGTTGGCATCCTGTACGAATATCATGTATCCTGACAGGCATGTCCCGAAAAGCAAAGCTTGTGCAGCCCTATATTCCTGCCTCTGAAGGTGGTTTGTTTGAGGTTGAAAGAATGCCATGAGCGCGACTGTGCAGGCAACGATTTAGGGTTTTCGAGGAGAATATGCCTCCTCTCTTCTGTCTCACTCTCTCTCTCTCCTCTCCCTCTCCCTCTCCCTCTCCCTCTCCCTCTCCCTCTCCCTCCCTCTCCCTCTCCCTCTCCCTCTCCCTCTCCCTCTCCCTCTCCCTCTCCCTCTCCCTCTCCCTCTCCTCTCCCCTCCCTCTCCCTCTCCCTCTCCCTCTCCCCTCCCTCTCCCTCTCCCTCTCCCTCTCCCTCTCCCTCTCCCTCTCCCTCTCCCTCTCCCTCTCTCCCTCTCCCTCTCCCTCTCCCTCGCTCTCTCTGTTTCTCGCTGTCTCTCGCTTCCTCTCTCTTTCCTTAGCTCTGTGTCAGGATAAGTTCCTTTTGTATAGGTGCAAGGAGAAGAAGGCAAACAACAAAACAAACAGCACACGACCTTCTGAAACACTGCACTCGCCAAGTGAGGAGACTTGCAGCCTTGTTGGCCACGCTGATGACTTTGACGTTGGGGAGCCCTAGGGCTGAAGGTACACTTGGAACTTGGGGACTTCCTTTGAGGGTCTGGCTTGTCGGGGGACGACTTCGCTTGGGTCGGGGCACCAGGTGGATTCAACAGACGAAACAGCTGCAGTTGCGAACTGCAAGCTGGGCCCTCGAGGTTTGTTTGGGATTCCCTGGCATGGGATATGCATTGAACACGTTCAAGACCGATGCAGGACCGCGTTCCTTGCTGCTTTGAATTCTCCGAAGCCCTCCAGCTGAAATAAGAGGGGTGCCGACTCTGGTGATGGCACCTTGTAGAAATTTCGTAAACCTGTGCAAACGGCTATTTGCACAGGGTGAGAACAAGGGATAATCATCAGGTGCGGAGTGTCTCTGCTTGTTGGTGGCTAGAGTTGCACATTGTAGGTTTTGGAAGCCGAGGTCGAAGAGGGCTGCTGTTGAATTCCCCCCCCCCAAAAAAAGAAACACGCAATAGTGGTCCGTGGGCGAGATGTGCAAGCAACATGCTTTGCATTGGTCGAGCTTGGCGTGGCAAGACAACCACACATCCTGCGCTTGCAGAGACCACTGAGGGCACCGACCCAGATTGCGAAGACCATGGAGCTGGACAAGGAACATGATGCAAAGCAGACGAGAGAGGCGGGAGTTCTCTGTGATTGGCCCTTCCACACCCCAAGAACTGTGCAGGAAGAACCCTGGCCAAGGTCGGGGGTACTGGTGTGGCTTGTTGTGGCTACCCCCAAGCAGATTTTGGCAGGTGGCACGGAGAAATGTGTGCTTATTCTTACAGCACGGTAACGCTAGAGTCACATAGAGTCTAGCTCCCAGGGTATCAGTGAATTGCTTCCAAAACACTGGTGGGCCGCGGAAAGTGCCCATAGCTTGCAGTGCGAGCGCTGGCAGGTTGAAAAGGACAGAAGTCCGGTCCACAGGCGTGCACCATCGCTAACGCTGCTGCAGTTCAATCCTCACTGGGAGTGCTTTAAGCCTGTGAACATGGAGACGACGCCTGGCAGCTTCAGAGAGGAACAGCGCTGTAGATGCTACGAGCTCGTTTCTGTGCATGCACGATATTCCAAAACCCGACGACAGCCTTAACTGAAGCCCATGAAGGCCCTCGAACCTGCCAGTTTGCGAGGCAAATCTAGAGTTTGCAAACAAAAACAGCCCCAGAACATAGTAGACGCATGTGGTGCTGTGACCCCCCCCCCCCCCCCCCGCAAAAAAGAAGCCTTATGGGACCCCCCCCCCCTCGACCCCCCTTGTGGTGTGCTCGCGAGATGTGGTGAGGGGAGTTGTTTGCACTTCGCGTGAGGGTTTAGGGTTGGGTTCTGGTTTGCGTGGGAGGGGGTACCAACGTGTATTTCGCAACAGAAGGACCTTGACACCTAGATTCCACCGGTTACCATACTATGATAAGGTTCTTTTTATGAGTGGTTTGCCCAACAATCCTTGTTTAGTTGCACTTTTAAGTAGCTTAAACGTAGCATTCAACAGCTATATACCCTCAGCAAGTTGAGTTTTAGACACTATGAGCATGCGGCTGCGAAGAATGCGGTGCACAGCGGCAAACAAACTAGCAAACAAAAAGCTGTTCGTGTATGGAGCCTATGCTGCACAAGATGGCATGCGTATCTTCTATAGGCTGCAGATAGGAGCTCTTATGTGTTGGAGTCGCCCAGGAAGAAACGTGCATTTGTCATCGTCATGACACTCTGGGATTGGGCACTCCAGGCATATTCTGTCAGCGGGCTCTGCGATGGGCACTCCAGGGTCCAGGGATTCTGCAGATTCCCTGCAAAATTCTTTGGGGGTGCCCAAGGATACTCGGCGGGATGCTCTGGTGCCGGGAACTGATACTTTGCAGACTCTTTGGTTGGTGTGGGCACTCCAGAAAATTCTTTGTGCGATATTTGCTGCTGGGTGGTGCACAGACAAATTAAGATGAATTACGAATAGCAACAATCAAATTAGTTGCTTTAGTAGAAACCATTCGAAAACAATCTTGCAGCTTTGGTATGGTATGAACATATCTTTGCCTGCATGCGCATTTGATGGGAGGGATCTGGTTCAGAGTGCTTCGACACTTAGACAGCAGACGAAACCCTCAATTCTCACAACGGCCGCGCAAGGTGTGGGCGTAACGTATTTGGCTTGGTGACGCGGCTCCTGCAGAATCACAGCACGGACTTTGCCAACATCATCGAGTCACGGCCGTCACTTTCTAGGGCTTTTTTTTGCAGGGCTTTGCACACAGACTTGCAACTGTTGCCCGAAGTCCCGCTGAGCTCTAGCAGGGTGCGCACTGCGGCATCTTCTGTTCAAAGCAGAGGTTAAATCGGGTTGCCGCCCGTGTAGCAAGGCCTGCGGGCATTTTGGCTTCAATTCACGAACTCGCCACAGTCTCGGGGAGGTCGTGGCGCTCTCACCATCTAGATGTGCGCTGCCTGTTCTTTGCAGATCGCTTGCTAGAAATCGTGCTCCCCGCCTTCCCAGAGTTCACATATGTCCACATCAACATCCTTCAGCACTTGCCTATGCGCGTTGTGATTTTGGATTTAGAGGTGCCACCGATTTAAGTATGAGCGTTGAGAGCACGTTCTTTCGATCCAAATAATTCTTGCTCCGACCTCAACTGGTCGTTTGGCAGTGCTCTGCGGTCTTAAGCACGGGTTCTAGCACAAAGTAGGCCTATGTCAGACGTGGGTCTCTAAGCTTGGCTTTCAGAGTCAGTGAGTCCTGTGTCTTGCCTTGTTCGGAGAACGGGCACTTCCGGGTAGATATACAGAAGCTTGTTGATTTCACGAGCGTGTCCGAAATTGAGAGAACATAGAGAGAGGAACCACGCCTTCGAACTCTGAGGATCTAAGGCTGGTGGTTCTTTGGTTGTTTGTACGTCCTTGGGTTTCCCGCAATTGCTGCAGTGAGTGGGCAAAGGCATGCTCAGACGTCCCAATAGCCGAACCGAAGCCTTGCCTGCCTTGAGTGCCTGACATGAGAACATCTCAGAGCCAAGGAGCTCCCGAAGACCTACAGGCAGTGGCATTTGGCATGGTGTAGGGGTCGACTTTGGGGGGGCCAGAGGGTTTGCTCAGGAGACGGGCTGTTGTCCATACAGCGTGTTGCCAGGGTGAAGGGACTCTAGCGCAGACAGATTTTGGAGGTCCGATTGTGGGGGCCGCGGGAGCGGAAAGAAAGAGCCAGACTTCTAGGACTCCGTAGAGCAATCCTGTGAAATCATTTTTGATGCAACCCCACATGGTGCGAGTTGCTGTGGACTCTGTTGGGTCAACTCTTCTGAGCTTGACAAAAAACAAAAGGCACTCCCCGCGAGTCCTCAATTACACTTAACCCATCTTAACCCGAAAAGCACTAAGCTCAGGCCACCAAAAGGCTGGCTAATGGCCTGCCGCAATGGAGGAGGTGGCGACACGGCGTGCGGGGCCCTCGGCATTCGCAGCTCAGAAGTCAGAGTTGTTGGTTCTGCGTTGACGAGAGAAACAGCAAGCAGAAAGCAGCAACCAACAAGCAACAAACACATCAAAGGCAACAAGCAACAAAGATGCGCTGGGGCGAGGTTGGTTTCCAAGGTGGTGGCGAGATGTTCACGTCACGGTCTCCCATCGTGAGGGCGGACCGATGACTTCGGCACAACGGACCAAGATGCACCACACTGGCTTCAGTGGCCATGCTGGGGGGAGGCGGTGCCATCCGAATACGCAGGGACGGAATCGGCTGCATAGCGCTGGGTGAAAGTCACTCGCTGACTCGTTGCCGTCTTGAAGTCGTGGCCGTCTTTGCCATGCAGTCCGGCCCTGCATTTGTGCCATCCCTGGGTAAGAGCAGTGGTGAGCTGTAGGTCTGCGCGAATGGCTTCATCCAGGGCCTTGCAGAAGGTCATGTACGGTGGCTGGGGCGGGCTTTCCACTATGTACTTCTTCAAGCAATGGGGAAGAGCTGCCGTCATCAAAAGGCGACCCGAGAATGCCCTGGAAGATGTGCTTGGAAGTAGTCCAGGCTCCCGGGTAAAACAGACTCGCTCCACCGGTACAACCGGTACCGTAACGGCGCTCTCTCGTCGCATGATGCGCTGTCCACTCGGTCATGCTTCGCCCGGAAGGGCTTCAGCAGAGCCGTCTTCACATCTGAGTATCCGAGAGTAGCAGCCCCCTCTGAGCCAGTGCTCAAGATAGCGGAAGACATCCGCACACTGTGCGGTGTGCAGCAGCTTGGAGTACAGACGGTGTCGACCCGACCTCCCCAGAGGCCAACAGATGAACCCTTCGAACATGTCCATGGCCATGCTGCGAGGGCCTTCCTGGGAATCGTGAAATGTAGGAACGAGGCGATATGGGTAGGCATCGACAAGAGAGGAAGCCAAGTGAAGACCTTCAGCCGAGAAGTTTGTGTGTTGGGACAGTCAGCCACGACAGAAAGCAAAAAGCGGCAAGTGACAAGCTATAAACATCAATATAAAACACTAACACCGAAACTAAAAGCGAAAAGTCTTCCTGAGCGTAGACAAAAAAATCTCAAGCTGAGCGTCAGATCTCGAATGGCTCAGGGGTCTATGTGATGCATATATATATATATATGTATCTGTGTGTGTGCTGCCAGTGTTTTCTGCGCGAAGAGGCCTGCTATGGCGCAGCTTGGAGTGGGAGGTGGTCGCGCCGCAGACGGAGTGCTGGCTTCCCGTCCGCAGCATTGTTCGGCCATGCAAAGGGTTTGGTAAGATGTGCGTGCAGTGCTGTTTATCCCAAGGCCCGACGTGCAGGACGTCGGAATTTCGGACCCAAATTCGCGAAAAGTCACAAGACATCATAAACTTCAAGTCAGGCAATGGCAATGCAAGGCCACTCAGTTTCCCAGCACTGCACAGAAACCACAGCCGCTTGTGCCCACATGCGTCGCGATAGTGGTCGTGCTTCCCTTTCCTGATACCCATCAGGGCACATCGGGTTTGTAGTTGCTATGCAGCACGCAGAGGAAGCTTCCTCAGGACAGCCTCCTCAAAGTCCAAAAGCAAGTCTCGTTCAGCAAATCTGGGTGCAGGAGCCTAGTTATGTCCAGGCATGTTCCCCTAAACCCTAAACCCTAAACCCTAAGCCCTAAGCCCTATAAGCCCTAAACCCTAAACCCTAACATTGTTTCTGTCGGAGATGACCGCAAGGAAGGCGCAGCTCCTTGAAAAGAGATTCTCTGCTGCCTTGAGGTGGGGAAATGGCCGGGCTTGCAACATCATGCAGCTTGTGCAGCACGGTCCAAGCAAAGTCTCCCAAATCCGCGATGTCCATGCGGAATTGGGCTTGACTGCTTGATGTCTTTGAGTTGTTCGAAAGATTTCGGGTTTGAAGATCTTTACTCCATGCCCCAGAGTCCTAGAGATACTCAGGCCATTCAAGCCTCACGCCCATTCCGTTTTGAACCAGAAAGCTCAGGACCTTTCAGCATGCCCGACAAAGCGATTTGAAGGCGGTGTGGTACTGCTCACACGAAGAGACTCTATGGTGAGTAATTATTGCAGCACAGACGGTCGTTGGCCTGCGTTGCAACAATGTGCTAGGGGATCCTGCCCCAAAGGTGCTCAAGGTGTCGGATGCCTGACCCTGAAAGCTACGAAATGCCAGCATAGGCCCAAGGCATCGATGGCGAAGATTCCTGCGCCAAATCCCACACGAGTTCGTCCCCTAGCGGCAATGCATTGATGTTCACCCTAAAATCGAGATACCAGGACGCAAGCATGCAAGGAGTTGCTGAAGGCCTCCTTGCTTTTTTGCAGCCGGCGCAGGTCACCGTTGTCGGTGCGCACTTCCCTCATGGAGCCAACTCAGGTGCTACGGCAGCCTTAAACATAACTTTGAAATGGTCTTCATCAATTGTACTGTAGAGAAGCTTACCTGCTGCCTGGAATCCCTTTCCGATGTAAGCTGTGCGGCCATGGAAGCCAGAAGCCGAGCTCTGCATCAAAGAGGTTTGCCCAAGATGCCATCAGTGTGGCAGTGTGTTGTATGTGCTATTCAGAATTCAACAGAATGGTTAACTGCCCACTCTCGCACCCACTCCCTCAGCGAGGCTTCTACATGGATTTCGTTGGAACGATGCGGTGGAACCTGAAGAAATCCAGAAAGGTCACAGACAAGGCGTTGAAGGGCAGTGGGTGGTCACTTGCTGCACCACTCGGTTCAAAGCAGCCGCTTTTGGTCCAAGGGGCTCTCTTCCGGCATGGCATCCTGCTCGATCTTGCTTCATGCCTTTGCCTGATGCCCTTGATTGCATCTGGTCCTGCAACCTTTGCCGGAGGTCATCGTCCTTGCGGACTCGAATGCGGGCCTTCATCAGAAATCAGACTCTCGGCACATCTGAATTTGAAGGTGCATACCATTCAGCTTGAAAGTCTACGATGTTAGACTAAAGTGACTAAAGTGACTGAAGCTCGAAGTGGCGTGAGGACGTGGGCATTCTCGAAGACCTGGCATCCTTGCCTCCCCACACACATGTGCCGACCCTCTGGTACGACTACAGGACAGCTCCGGGTTTTGCATCAGGGTTATAATCTAAGGGCGAAGAATCGCGTTAAGCCTTGAGCAAGAAATTTCAGGGCCATGACGCCCCCAAGGCGAAAGCTGGGATGGAGTATTCAGGGGCTTTTCGGGGGTCTTGGGCTGGCCTTCTTCGGTTCGGCATTGTAGCCGATCCGAGACGGCTAAAGAGGGTTTTGCAAGCACAGCTTGCCCTGCACTTTCGGGGCATCTGCTATGGTAAGAGGTATAGGGGGGAAGCACTGTGGTGAATGGCTACAAAAGGCGGGTAGATTTCCGAACGCTCTCCAGTGGGCACTCCTGTTGGCCCGTCATCACACGTCGCAAACGTCGCATACTCTGAAGCGGGTTGAGGGGTCGAGGTGTGCCGTTGGATGTCCCCAAACCCCATTGGTCCCAGTGCACTCCAGCATCCTTCGGTTACAGCCCTGGGAAAGTGGTGGGGAAATTCTTGGGCACTTTGTAAGGTTGGCAGGGGCCTCTTTGACCCCTTTTGTGCGAAGGACATGCTGCTACAACATTCACTTCCAGGCCTTCTTCGATCGAGTGGTTGCAAACTTTGGGAAGAAGTTGGAGCCCTGCCTGGGATGTCTCCTTCCTATGTCGGGTTTTCTGTGTTCTCTGTTCCGGGTGAGGGACCGAGCCGGGATGCGAGCTCCATGCTCATTGGCGCCGAAGACATAACTCATTGTACACTGGCATGGGAAATTACGGGACCCTCACTCCGACGACTCACGGGTGAAGCTTTGGGGCAATACGGGACAGGGTCTTTTCTTCGGCCAGGGCACTGGGCCCTGGGTACAGAGGGCCAAGAGCGCGCCAGCGAATTGCAGAAGAGGCTGTGCGTACAGTGCTTATCCGGTACCGTACCTGCCAAGTATGGTTTGCCGTGCTGCGCAGCCTGAATCCAGTCCTTAATGTTGGACCAACACCGCACCTCGCCAGCCATGAGCCCACAGCTTACTGATGCCATCAGCGTGGCTCCCTCAACAAGGGGTAAGAGTAGGGTTCGGCCGGTCCACACTAACAGTCACCACCAGCAGACCCACAAATAAAAGCACCCGGTAAATGCCCAAAAATTGACTGGGATTCCTGCTATTCCTGGTGCTATTCCTGGTGCTATTCCTGGTGCTATTTCTGGTGCTATTTTTTGTGCTATTCCTGGTGCTATTCCTGGTGCTATTTCTGGTGCTATTTTTTGTGCTATTCCTGGTGCTATTTCTGGTGCAATTGTTTGTGCTATTCCTGGTGCTATTTCTGGTGCTATTTTTTGTGCTATTGTTTGTGCTATTTCTGGTGCTGTTTCTGGTGCTATGTGACTACCAGTCACCATCAGCAGACCCACAAACAACAGCACCCGGTAAATGCTAAGCTGCTAAACTTTTGACTGGGATTCCTGGTGCTATTTCTGGTGCTATTGTTTGTGCTATTCCTGGTGCTATATGCCTGGTGCTATTTTTTGTGCTATTGTTTGTGCTATTTCTGGTGCTATTTCTGGTGCTATTTCTGTTGCTATGTGACTAGCAGTCACCACCAGCAGACCCACAAAAAGAAGCACCCGGTAAATGCTAAAATTGACTGGGGTTCCTGGTGCTACTTTTTGGCCTGTGTGTTATAAGGCCACGGCGTTATTTGACTGTTACTGTGGACCGGCCGAACCCAAGGTAAGAGCGTTGTGATTTCAAAGTTTTGCTGCCAAACCCGGCTTCGGGACAGTGAAGAGTTCTCCTGCCTGAGCCAAGGATCTGATACGTGACGATGACGCTCCGTCAGTTCAGATGCAATACTTCAAGTCGTGGTGTCACTAGTCAAAGCTGTGAAGGCCGAAGCAGATGGGGCCAGCCTCAAAGCCAAAGTTGCCATTTGCCGAGCCAAGGAATACCGATCACTCAGTGGAGATTTCACTCATGCACCGCCGCTCGGTGGAACGTTGATAGAAATCCCGCTTTCTTCGGCATGGGCAGCGAGGCTGACAGGGTGTTTGGGGAGTTTTGGCCAATTGTGCGAGTCTGTCACAGGCACGTAAATTAACATTGTTGTTCCGCGGAAATTTGCACGTTGTTCCGCGCTTGCGGCGTGCTTCCTTTAGGGGTTCCACTGATCTGCGCTGCACCCTGAAAAACGAAGTTCTGAACGAATTGAAAATTCTGAAGTCTCATGAATAGGAAAGGCCCACAGCCCAGCAGATTCAATCGGCAATGATTCCGAATGGCCAAAGATCTGCTCGCACAAGCTCTCACATGACTAAGCTCAAGCTCCTAGATATTCCTAGATTCTCTAACAGATCACGACATACAACGGAACCTGTGGACGCACAACAACATCCGCAAATCCAAAGCCGAGAGCAGCCCTTCATCCAAATCCCCACAAAGTGCTCCGCAATTCACAGGCCGTTCGCCCAGATCAACTTCCCCAACAGCGCTGCACCAGGGTCTTTCCACCATCCAGTGCTGGCCCGCCTCAGTCTCTGATATTGCAAGGGGCTCCCAAGCGCCAAGCAAAGAAAGCCCTCACGGGGGGCGTTTCGGGTGGTGTGATATGTGTGATGTTCCCACAATATCCAGCAATGCACTAACCACATCGAAATACTGTACTGCCATCCACTCCTTCTTGGCGTTCCTTGTCAACATTCCGTAAACTACAGGTGCATAGCTCCGCAGAGGAGAAATGAACGGTATCAAGCAGCCATCTCACACAAGGGCACTGAAAAGGGATCTGAAGTTTCGTGGACATCCCAGAATCCTTGGCAGCCCTGCGCGCATCTCCTCAAAGACAGGAGCTCAGTCTTATTGGGCAGAGACTGGCAGCTGAAATCAGCTGTGAGCACTCAGAGATGGGCTTCAAGCAAAGCATGAAGCTCACCTGACCTGTGCAGAGTAGGCGTTTAATGCGAACGCCAACGGGGTGATATGCAGTCTGGCTCGGCGCAAGGGCTGCAAGGGTCTCGAAACTTTCCGAAAGAGTCGAGAGCATGTCCCATTTTCATGTCTTCACAATTCAAATTCTGTCAGGCAGACGGCTCGGTAGCCAAAGATCAACGATTGCTCTCGCTTTGGTACAGAAAGGTGTGAGGACCAGAACTTGGGAACCGGGGGCGGCCTCAGCCGTGCAAGCAAATCCTAAGTTTAGAGCCCTTCGCGCTCGCGCTAAGCTCAAGTTTCGCGAAGAATCCGGCGTGCCTGCCAACAGTTGCAGGTCCTGGGCAGGAAAGATCGAAGGCTCCAGACCTCACGGGCCCAAGTCTCTTCTGCGCGAACTTGCAGGAGAGCTTACATAGGGTTGCGAACCAGGGCTCGTACTCCGCTGCCAACAGCTTCATGGATTGCAACGGCCAGTTCTCACATGGCCCCCAATTGAGACCGAGAGTGTGGTGTAGTGGGGGACGCATTGCCAGGTGCAGCCGGTCTACAGCCACAAGAAGTGGGAGGATCTGCAAGCTTTGAACATAAAATCTTTCAACCCGAATATCCGAACTACAATTCTTGCTTTGACAGGAGTTCTCCGCAGGGACATGGGTTGGCCTGAAAGCTGCCTGCCATGCTGTTGCATAGAAGCGAGCGCTCCTAATGCAGACCTCAGATTTGCAAAGTACTAAGTACATCGGAAAAGTGGACATGAAAAGTATCTTATAGCTCCAGGGGAATAGTGCGTAATGTTGCTGCAGGCAACACTTCCGGCCGCCCCCCTGAACAGAGTAGGGCGCCCTATGCAATAAACTGATCTTGACCTATTCTGAGAAATTGAGGGGGATAACATCCAGGTGATCAACTTTTCTGGAAGGAGTTCATTGTAAACCCGGTGCCCTGAGCTCAATCTATTTGGGGTCAGAAGGGTTTGGGGCTTTCAGACTGGGGTTCTATGCCCCTCGAAGCCGGTTAATGAGGGCTTTAAACAAACAGAGCCCTGAACACTGGACTGCTGTTAAACAACAGCAGAAGTCATGATGAAGTCTCTTCAGGTCATGACTTCAGAGCAGCATCTAGCGAGAAGCTTTTGCATGACTTTCTTGTTTCTGTTTGGTCCAGCATTGCCACAGGAGAATTATCAGAAGAGCGCCGTCCACCTCAAGAATTGCCAGGGCCCTTCCGGCAGTGCTCGGCAAGCATGTCGAATGATGGGTGTAGCTGGCAATGGGAAACAAGGTCTCTGTCATGCCCAGAGCCACGATGTTCAAGATATTTGTTTTGTGACAAAGATGGAGATTGGTGGGATTTGTGGGATTGTTTGAGGTTCAGGAATGTTCAGGACACAGCATGTCCTGTCAGGTTGTGCCTATCCAGTCGTCACCCGGATGTCCAGGGGTCGGAGTGCCCCGAGTGCCCCTCGGCTGAAACCAGCTTTGCCCCAGAGGCCTACAAGCCTAACACTTTATTCACCTAATGAACTCAAAATCTTACCTCCCTGTCACACCTTGAGACCCTAGAAGAAGCTCAAGAACGCAACATGTGATCTATCACTTGACCCCCAGGAAGGAACCCAACACAGCAACCGTGCCATCGTGAGTCTTTCTACGTGACAGGAGCTCTCCTGACAAGGAACCCAACATCCAGTTCACTTATGGATTGAGGTTTCTTCAAAGCGCATCCTTCGTTCTCCAGCTATGTCCGTGTAGCACCTTGGAATCATGAGCCAGGAAACTAGACTGGCGGTTACACGTTCAGAAGTGAGCTGTGCTCGCGCGCCCGTAACATTATATTACAAGTCTACGCCGTCTAAGCGTGAATTAAGATTAAAACGGGCGTCACATGAACGCCACAAATGATCTCCTCTTCGAAAATCCTGTCTCAAAGCCCTATAGAACCTGTCAATCGCAGGCCGCCTGCACTATATAGTGATGTCATGAACAAAGCGTGTGAGTTTATACTTACAAGCGAACTATGAAGCGTACAGCATTCTTCCCGCGGTTTCTTTTTCACGTTCAGCAGAGGGGCAGGGATGTTGGAATCCCCAGGTGATGATGCAAATAGCTCCGGATGGGCTGCGCACCCAGGATTGATGACCATGGTTTGAGAGTTTTTTGCTCGCATCTCTGACATTGCTGACCATGCCTTAATTATGAGTACCCTTCCAGCCAAACTCGATGGGCCAGTCCACCACTCCTGCAAGATTCCTTGAGGTCCAAGGCCTTGGGGCATTCCCAGAAAACTGGCAACCAAACGTATACTTACTTCGTTCTACGAACTGGGACCCATACCCTCTGCGTGTCTTTTGAGTATGTGTGGCAATAGCTGCAATTGAGAACATCTCCTGACCCCAAGGGCCAAACTTAAGCAGAGCGGTTGAGAACGTGCAGCCCTGAAACCAAAGTTTCCCAAGGCGCCCAAGCATAAGCTTTTAAGCTCTAAGGTGTTGCGGGTGAAGCCCTGAAAGCAAAAAAAACGACCCCAGTTCCAGGTCAGATGTGATGTCTGCCAGCGCGCAGTCTCCAACCCGCGGCGGGGCGTCCCCCACTGCGGAGGAGGCATCTAAACCCCTGAACCCTAAACCCTAAACCCAAAGAGTCTGTCTGACGCCGCTCTGGGGACTGGTGGGAACATGATGAAGGATTCTTCGGGGGTCCTTTTCTTCGATCATGGAGCTCTAAAGCCCAAGAGAAAAGCACAAAGCCTCTCCCCTCAAGCTTCCAGAAGATTGTCCATCTGCCAGGAAGATCGCAGGTTCGTGCTCAAGGAAGGCTTGCGCATCGGCACTGCGCTCAGACTCAGACTCTGTAGGGGCGTTTCGAGCATGAGGCCTTTGGAAACTGATTAAGCGAGATTAGAGGATCTTTCAGGCACACTTCGTTGCGCAGCTTCCGCATTTGTGTTCATGTCCACGCGGACTACGGTCAGCCGTAGACGTGACCTGCTTCAGGTGAGACCTACTACTTGCCCTTTGCTCAGAGTACCAGATGCCTTCAGGGGGGTAGGGTTTAGCGCAGTCTCTGGTGGGGTCTGAAACTGGCAGAACGTGAAGCCCAAAAGCTTCAGACGCTGAACCGTTTCAGGGTTTAGTCCCGAAAAGATCCGAATTTTTGGCGTCTCATTAAGCCCTGAGTACTCAAGGCCTGAAGCAAAATCTCGAATTGAGCCCAGAGTTCAAACCCCCCCCCCCCTTCACACAGCCCTATTTGTCGCCCTTCCGAGGCTAGAGATGTCCACGGACGGCCGAACACTGAATGTCTGGAACCCGTTTGAGGGCCTTTAATGGGTAGGCCCCCCCCCCCCCCCCCTGAACAGTCGAGGCGTGGATGGGATCCTGATTTACACGGCCCCGGGGGCTTATATGATTTTAATAGGGAGGAGTTTAAAAGGGGCAGCGATGCCCAGCATCTTTTTTAAAGGCGCGCCGCGTGGATTGTTCTTACGACGCCCGGACTTTGACTTTAAAGAGGATCCCCCAAACAGTCAGGGGATCCTGAGGGTGTGCCGGGTCTAGCGTGTTCAGTTCAAGTTTCGGGTGTCCTTGGATGTTTTCGATTGAGTTTGTCAGGTCTTGCAAGATGTGAGGTTTCTCATGTTTAAGGCTTCATATGAAGGCTTTGGCACGTGAAGTTTGGTGTTGGGCAGGTAGGTGCACGCCATTGCACGCCCTCCGATGAATGACTAGTCCTAGGCCTGAAGCCGACGTGCATGTCGTACGTGCAAGCATTGCCCAGCCCCACAACAGCTCGACGACAAAGCCAACTACATCAGGCCCTGAATGTTAATGTAATCCACTAAGGATCCACGTCCATAAAGAAGTTAATTTCCAGAGGATTGCCCCTCGAGGTGTCAGCCTACGATGGCGAGACCAAGACGTCACTGGAGCTCATTATCAAAGAGAAGGCTGCTGTGTCCCATGGGTGAAGCGAACGCTGCTTTAACAATTGGCGGGCTCGGAACTCCAATAAGAAATTGTGAGTAAGTCCCTTTGGAAAAGACCACTCCCGGCCTGATCATTCCCTCATTCCCCCTTTCCTGAGAAACCATTACTACTGTACCACTACGACTCAGAAACCATGGCGAAGAAACATCGCGACGCAGAATCTGCCCCCCTCTCCACCCTCCCCCATCTCCTTCCCATCTCCTTCCTGCCCGACCGCTCAACCTCTCAAAACTTAGCCCCAAATCGAATCCGCGGCGCAGCTTTTTTTGCCGAATCTGCCCCCGCTGCTTCCGAAACATGATATTCTGAATCAGCGCGCGATGACTTCGTACTAAGGCTTGCTTTCCGAACACGGGACCCGTCGGGTTGAACCTGCCTTCGTGTTTTGGAGGCTTAGGGCAAGAGAGCTTGAGAAGGCTTTGAAGGCCGAAGAAGCTCCAGTCTAGGAGGGTCTTTCACATGCAGAACCCTTGGGATCATGTGAGCCATCGGATACAGTGATAAAATGTAGTCTTCAAGTCTTGGCGTCTGTTGCATGTTGTGGCAAGAATGCCAGGCTGTCACTGTGATCAGAATTGGTATTTGCCGAAAATCGGGAGTACCCTTCTTGGGGGGGTCCTTTATTGTAAGGGAATCCTACTATTTGGGGGGTTTAATCGGGGTCCCTTATTTTCGTAAACCCCCACTTAGCTTCGGCCGACAGGGGGAAAGCCTGCAGGTCCACCGGTCGCTGTACAGGGAGTGCAACGGGGACTATGCACAGATCGCAGCAATGCCAGGATCTCGGCATTGTCCAACTGCTAAGCCAAAAAGCACAGCCCCTGATGAACGCGCCGGTCGAGACGGATCGAAAGAAAGACCTTGAGTGGCAAACTTGCCACAAACTTATAACTTAACTTCCTCCCCTTCCGAAGCTCCCGAGCTGCACCAAGGCTGCGGGTTGAAGGGAACCGCCTGATCCTCGCATCTCCGTTGTCCCAGGGATAGGCAAAAGGGTGACGTGGACGCGAGGGACTTCGGGTGATCGGCTTATAGCTGGGGCCTTTCAGTATTGTTTTCGGGATGACAATCGGAGAAGGTGCATTGGATGCAAAAGCACTTTGGGTGTTTTGCTGAGGGTCGCATATGATGGAGTCCCAACTGGAAAAGGTTTGCATGGTAGCATGGGCTCTCGGGTTTTTGAAATTCTTTGGCCGCATCCAACAATCCCATCCGAATGCTCCAAGGGTGACGCCAGTTTAGGGGTTTCGGTAGCTACAGCTCAAGAACAATCTGAAGGTTGACTGGTCGGAGCATTTGCGAAGAGGTGGCCTCGATCATCTGCGAACCTCCAAGCAGCTCAATCCGAGCCCCCTATGCCATCCAATGCCATCCTATTGATTCGTATGCCCATGCAGGCCGTCGTGTTTCGTTGACAATCAGTGAATGCACGAAATGAGAGTGCAAAGACGCATTGTGGTCAGCACCCAGCTGTACGGCTGTCATCAGATTGAAGAGCATTGAATGGCAGTTGATCCAACCAAGCTTCTGCTTCTCGTCTCTTTACAGTCGCTGCCAACAGTGCACTTGTGTAGGCGACGCCAAGCAGGTAGAATTCAGTCTCAAGCAAAAGTAGTATGCTCTCAAACTGGAGCAGCGGCCGGAACTGCTTGCTTTCCATGGCCACGTCTCCATGTCTCACCAGGCACTGTCTGCATTGTACGCAGAACAAAAAGAGCGGCTGGCGCCAAGCCAGCTAGTTGCGGATGGGGCCTCTCGACCACTCGGCTAAGTGAACTCAGACTGAAATCCGCCATTCACAAGGCCTTTCTCGTTGCTTGTGCCCGTGGCTTTGGAAATTTTTCAAGTGGCCAAAGTGCCTCTTGGATCACCCCCCCAGTGGCACTGGAGGTCAGTGCTCTGGAAGTCTTATAAGGGCATGCGGGCTGTTTCCCCGCGGCTGAAGCAGCTTGGATGGGCACGTTTGTGTCTGGCCAGCATGGTGGTCTGGTTTGTCCTGGCTGGAGAGTCTGGGATGACCTTCCTAGGCGGGAGTGGCTACTAAAGTCTGCCAAATGATGTGCAACACTGTGCTCAAACGATTTTCTGTGGTCATAAGTACAACCTCAGCCACGCAACCACGCAACCACGCAACCACGTAACTCAACAATACACCGACTGCACGACGACCCGCAGCCCCACCCAAATCCCTACCCCACCCCCCACCTCCACCATCACCATGGACATGTCTGTGTTTCTGACAAAGCGCGCGTATCGCATGTGACTACTGTTGCGGTGTTACAAGCATGCTTATGCGGCGCATTAGTTAATTAAGTTCAGGCGGAGATTTTTCTTTCAGAATGTTCAGGCTACGTGCACACTACTTGGCTGGATTTTTGTTCTGGTGGGTTTAGGGATGTCCCTTGGGTGCACTGATAGCATGGACCTTATCATCGTGCGGGCTTTGGTAACATAAACGATGTCATCGTGCTTTCATGGGCGCTTTGGCCAATGGATGGCCTGCAAATGCCCATGTAACCTGCATGTCGGTTTCCCGCGACCTGGCAAGTCCCCAGCAAAAAAGCGTGGCGTTTGCAGAAACAGTGGAATCGGGCTGGTGGTTTCCGCAAGATGGCAAGTCGCGAACACGCAGCTGGCACCGATGTTTTTGTATGTGCACCACGCCGAATACTGCACATACCGACTTTTTCGGCATGTCGATTCTGCGCATCTACAGGATATCGGAGAGGACGAAAACAACAACGACCGAAAGCCAACAACAAACACTGAACCAAAAACTCCGCACAAACCCACACCCACCACAGCAGCAGCAGCAGCAGCAGCAGCAGCAGCAACAACAACAACAACAACAACAGCAACAGCAACAGCAACAGCAACAGCAACAGCAACAGCAACAGCAACAGCAACAGCAACAGCAACAGCAACAGCAACAGCAACAGCAACAACAGCTTTTGTTGGCGTGATGGTTGGGGAAGAGGAGGGCGGGGAGGAATGGGGAGGGCAAATTCCTGGAAAGGGCAAATCGAGGAAGGCTTTTTTCCATGTGTAGAGGAGTACATAAAGGGCTTTGTATTGTAATCCAGGGGAACCCAAGCATGAACTGGAAAGGGGCCCACACACCTTGATCCTCAGCCAAGCTTTGGTGCAGCCAGCACTCAGGGAATTTCTGCAAGTAGTTTCTCATTGCGTTTTGCGACGTGAGTGTGCTGTCTCAACACCCGGCGCGCCGGAAGATGCCTAAAAGTACTGCAGAGCAATCAATCCCAGACCCTGAAGACCACGAGGCCCACTGCGGATCGCCCCGCGGATCGGCTGCCAGACCTCTCCACGGATATTTGCCGGAAGCCGCCAAGAACTGGCGCCTCGACCACTGCGGGTGGTCGGGCGTTCGCAGATCCCGCGCCCAGCCACCTGGCCGCCGCGGGGTAGTGGGCGAGGCTAGCGGGAATCAGGGGACACTTGAAGGGCACGTGTACTTGTAGGACAGGGCAAGACATAAAGGATGGAGCTAACGAGACCTGATTACAAAAGCTTGGTCGTTACGTTACCGTTGCTTTAGTGGGGATCTAGATCCGGAAAATGAGACCGTGAAAAACGCAGGCCCCCACGGCGGCCCCTTCTCAAAAAAGAAAAGGGTAGTGTGGGCTCATCCTCATGCTTCACTTCTGCGTTGACATCCGTTGAAGCTTGAGACCTGCACAGACCTAAAGCAGCTTCACCTTGCCAAGCCTCGCCATACCCAGTGCCCTGCAGCGATAGCCGGGCAACTCGAAACTAGATGCCAAATCCAAAGTATCCAAAACATGCAAGTGGACCCCCAAACCCAAAGGCCATTTATGCAGCATCCCCGTTTGTCGCCGTCTTTGGTGCGGCGTTTGTCTTCCTGGGCCTGCAGTTCTTCAACACAGAGGCAGCTTGGAATACTCAAGCGACTAATCAAGGAAGGACTTGGGCATGTCGATGAATAGGAAAGAAGCTGGAGAAGCACTCTTGTTACGCTAAGGTTGGCAAGTGGCTAGGAAAAGTGAGGGGGGTTGGTTGTGTAGATAGTTGCTAATCGCACTTTTCTCCGAAGAGCTGCGCATGTCGAGTGTCCATGCTGGAGTATCAGTATCAGTGAGTTTCATTTTGCTTTGCAGCACTGTTGGCAAGACTTCCGGAAGGGATGCTCGTAGCATGCTCCCGAAGTGGCAGATGGGCTTTTGCCGCAAAACTGTTGTTGGGTCCTTGTTGTCCGTGTGATTTGCCGACTAGATTCAGAACAGAAAAGTTAGTCAGGAGGGTGCAGCCCCACACAATTAGTTTTAAGATGACCAGTTCCAATTTCACGGCTTCCGGTTTAGAATGGAGTTTGTACTGTTAGGTGGGGGTCTTCCAGTGGAGTTATGGTGTGGGTCTGCAGGTGGTTCTGGGTTCTGGTAGATCTGGACTTGAGCGCTCCTGGGGGGTGAAGGGTCGAAACTTGCCTCGTGTCTTGGGATATGGTTTCGGATCTTCGGACACTGGACAGGCCAATGACGATGCTTTGCGCACCCTCATCCAGAAGTACACCAATATTCAGATCATCGACGTGAGCCCTGATACGGACATCAGCCAGGACTGCAGAACCCCGCTTCTTTCAATGAACAACTTGGGCTCCCCGGTCAACCTGCATACGAGACCAAAATCTGGAGAAGCAGAGGACTTTCGAAGGATCTGTGGCCCCCAAAATGAGACCCTGAGGAGGTGGCTAGCGGCTCGTCTCATAACCTTGTCCTGCGTGGCAAGTCAGACGAAGACATCCATTGGTATGCTCCTTGGCGCAAAGCTGTGGCCACCGTGGCCTCTAAAGGCCTCTATATGCTTCCGCGCGACCACTGTTGTTTGTCACTGGTAAGTCAGGCTGGCTTTCCGGTGGAATGCTAGTGGGTGCTACTCTCCAAGATGTCAGCTCAGATCCGCTCAGCTAATCAGCGTAGTCTATAGGCTGTAAACTTATTGTAGTTGGCCCAGTCCACGGAAGACTGGAAGGTGCAGGGGGACAAACTTCCGCCAGTGCGCTGGTTTCTGCGCCGCTCGCAAGCCTGATTAAGAAGCAATTTGTGTAGTGTCTTTGCACCATGCATCCATCGCTTGCACGATTCTGCTCAAAATGTCGGTTGCCCTTAACCCCAAGTTGCCAAGGCAAGGACACAGTGCTTCGGAGAGTGCTTTTCGGTGGTGGACTTGCGCTGGGGGAATCGTACATGGACGGGGACTGGGACAGCGACGCGGGACTGAATTTGAGGGATCTAGCCAGCGAATGTCGGTTGAACGATCACGCGACAGGGCTGTGGCTGGCAATATCTTTTACAAAGATGAGTTGCTTCTTGTGTGTGGAGGAGTGAGAGAAGGACATGTCTTGTCGTTGGTTTTGAGAATCATGGTTTTTCTTTTGCGATTGCCCAAACGCGGGGCCAATCCATATGGACCTGGACTAGACTTATTGCATGAGGCAGTAGCAAGTCGATGGCGAGGGGTGAGGAAGCATTCTGTCAGGCATAAAAACTATGCACGCGGGATGGTGCAGGTCACGCAGGTCAGGCAGGTATATGCATGAGATTTACCAGCGCCAGCTGGCGTCGCCAGCTGACGTGTGTGTGGTACCCCTGGAATTTCACTCTTGCTTGTCCCTCTCCACGTCCGAGGACCACATAGCAGATTCGTATTAGAAACTAGTAGGCGCATCTGCAGAAGTCAAAACCTTCGAGGGCAACCACACCAAAGGTTGTCTTTGCGACAGTTACTAAAGCAGGGAAGACGGGGAGCGAGATTGTCGATTTCTTGTGCGGGTGATGAAACAGAAGGAACGAATCACGCTGTGTGAATGAGGCGAGTGTTCTTGGCAAGACGTCACTAAGTTAAGCCAACATGCCAGCTGGAAAAGAAAAAGGAACCCGCCTCCTGTGGAATGCACGCAGACCGAGAGATTCAACGTCAGCTGCTTGAATGCCACCGGGCCAAGGCATGTCCCGCCCTTCTTTTCCCTTCCGGTACCAGTGCATGGCCCTAACCTGGAAAGCCGAGTCAGCAAACCTTCTTAAGTCTTTTCGCGTTAAGTTTGTATTCCCAGAGGCTGGATGCTTTTCCATCACCAAGCAGTCTCTCAGTGTTCACAGGAAAATCATTGTTGGGAGGTTGCTGACGGACCCGCCTTCATTCCCAATCTGGCATTGAAGGGTGTTTCCCGAACAGTCTAGGTTCCTATAAGAAACTGCAGCAAAAGTTTCATTCAAGCCAACGCTTCGTCGCAGGTCCGACTTCCGAGCGACACCTGAAACAGTCACTCTCAGTCTCCGCACATGCACTTGTGCGCTTGTTCGCATGTTGCTCCGAGCGTTCGCGTTCAACGGTGTCGGCCCAGGTCGACTGCAAACACCCCGGCATCCATTTTGTGATTGTTTTTTTAAACAAGCATTTTAAGACCACATACTAAACTATATGTGTACATATATATATATATATATATGAGGCAGGGACCTCTACGTATTATGTGAACGCTTTCTCTGGCTATAATAGCAACTCTACTAAAAGGCAATAGTTCCAAGCGACTGACCATGCTTCAGGGGCTTGGTTATGCATGTTAAATGCGTTTTAGGGTTTAGGGTTTATTGTTGAGGGTTTAGGGTGGTTTGGGGTTTGGGGTTGAGGGTTTGGGGCTAACGGGGTTTTTTGGGTGTTGGGATTGCAGGCCTAGAGTGGATTATGGCTGCGGCAAAGGCCGAAACCCTGAACCCTACTTGGAGGTTCCGTGGCAGGTAGAACTGGGGTTATGAGTGGGGTCAGTGAAATGATACTTGGTAATGGCCCTTTCTAAGGCACTTCTAACCCTACTTAACAATACCCGTGAACAAGTGCGAGCCTCGCCCCAGGTCACAACAGACCCATCGCCCAGAAAAAATAGCTTGGATCTGCTGCACGCCCTTCAGATGACCTTGCACAATACTGCTGTCGCCGCCACGGTCAGCATGGCCCCAGGTCACGACGATATTCTGATGTATTTAAAAGACTCATAGAATCTTGTAAATCCAAAACCGTATGAGGAATTGAATATGATTATATTGAATTCAATTGGAAATCTAGAATATTTCATAAATTAATTCAAGAATATCGGTTTTCAATTCATTCTAAATGGCATGGAAATAACCTGATATTTCAAATCAAACATATACGATGTTCTGAGATATTTACACATGTCCAGAATCCAAATATTCCAGAATCATTGGAAATCCAATATTGTTTGAGCAATTGAATTGTTTTTATTGAATTCACATAGGCAATCTGAATATTTCATGAATTTAGGAAATTTTGGTCTTCAATTCTTTGTAATTGTCATTGAAAATCTCATATTTCCATTCAAATATATATACGACATTCTCAGGTATTCAAAATATTCATAAAATCATTATGAAACCAAAATTCTATGAGGATGGGGTGAAGTCTTCCTACAAAAGCGACTACAGCTAACCCTAAACCCAGAGCCCGAAGCAAGCGACGGCTGTGGCCGCGGGCTCTGAGTCTAGGGTTAGGGCTTCGGGCCTAGGGTGAACCGAAATCCGAAATCTAAACCCACCACCACGCGTGCCCAGGCCCCGGGTTTAGATTTCGGGGGCTAGGGCGGTCAGGGAAGGGGTGAAGTCTTCCTACAAAAGCGACTACAGCTAACCCTAAAACCCGGAGCCCGAAGCAAGCGACGGCTGTGGCCGCGGGCTCCGAGTCTAGGGTTAGGGCTTCGGGCCTAGGGTGAACCGAAATCCGAAATCTAAACCCGGCGCCCTTGGTGACCACCATGCGTGCCCAGGCCCCGGGTTTAGATTTCGGGGATTAGGGCGGTCAGGGAGGGGTGAAGTTTTCTTACAAAAGCGACTACAGCTGACCCTAAACCCGGAGGCTTGACCATGATTGACCAAAACCTGAGCTCCGCTCCTCACTCCCGTCAAAGCACACACCAGGATGGCCGAGGCGACCAAGGCCGAAAGGTTGGACGAAGGAGGGGGGGTTCGACGAAGGCCGACGTGAGAGGCCAAGACGAAGACCGGAGGATTCGACAAACGAAGGCCAGCAGGTCAACCAGTTGGTCTGCTGGAGGCTGTGCCCGGTGTTGCCAGCCCCAAGTTCCAAAACTCTCCTGGGCAGGTCTAAGGTCGGACCTTCATTTGGGTGGAACATACTGGAACAAACTCGTCCTGGGCAGGTCTGAGCTCTGGACCCCTTCATATAGGCGGAACATACTCGCGCTCACCGTCTTGCTTACCCGTCTTGCAAAGCGTGACGAAAACATAGTTCGCTGCTTCATCGGCATTAGTCCTGGAGGCCTTGAACCAAAATATTATAGTGTTTCTATTATTGCTTTGATTAGTAATAAGCTTCACCGCAAGTCATACTACTGCGCTTGTCTTGGGAGTAGGCCAGTCGCGTTACAGCGCTCACCTCGACGCAGTTCACTCGCCCAGCCATAAATTCATTTACTCCAACAGCGCAGCAGCAAGAAATAAGCTTGTAAACTTGACACAAGCTGACATACGTCCATGTCTTGTTTTCTGTTCCGCAGGCGCACTCGCTGTGCTTGCCGAGCGAGAAGAATCAAATCATTGCGCTCGTCTACGTTTAGAGCAGACTCCTTGGGTGCGCAGCCGAGTGCTGCGCTCCAGGGTGAACACAGTTCGCTTGCGGCTGCGTGGCTTTGAGGCAGCCGGTCGCTTAAAGTGCCATTGCTTCACTTTGCGTCTTTCCTCTACACGGCATTCCTCGCCTGGAAGAGAAGCTTTTGCAATGCAGTTGTCCTGCTTGCAGGTAGAGCACCAAGCAGACCACGACTGCGGCGTCCAGATGGTCGGGGTGCAGAGTCGCACCAGCAAAAGATTACTGGACAGTTGTCGCAGAGTCGGATCTCGACTTGCTACAGCGTGAGGCAACATTTTTGCCCAGGTCAAGATGTCTAACTTGAGTTTCAGCGTGCTTCTGTGCAGCTGCTGCGTTTGAGCAAACCATGACTTCACCTCAGCATGCAAGGCTTCGTTGGACGAGGTTCCAGACGGCAGCAGAGCGCGGATTCTTCTGCCTCATGTGGGGGCAGGTTGGCACAAGCGTCAAATTGCTAACACAGAACAAGCCTGCTTCCTCATGCTTTTTCACGCGCGCTGCTATCAGATTGCTGAGCTCCAGGCTAACAAGATGTCGCCATCGTAGGTTGTTGAGAAGCCACTCCGCCCGATCGGGATCGGCGGCGCACCAAAGAATCTCGTCGATTCTCTTGTTGGCGCCTGTAACCTTCCTGGACATGTCTTCTGGGAACTCAGCTGCCAGTGCTGCCAGCGCTTCTATGAATTCGTTTCTGGACGTAAAAGGCTTCGCCGAATCTAGTTGTTTCACCACAGCGCTTGCCCTTGCTTTGGGCATAGCGCCGCTTTTGATGTAGTTTCTTTTGGTCTGTTCTGAAACTGACAGCGCACGATCTGCAGAATGACCTGTGTAGAACACGCCCCAATGACCAGCGGTGACATTGTTGTCGTATGCGTTGAACTTGCTCACGATCTTACGCAGAAACACAGCACCGGCAGTTTTCTTGCGCCAGGTGGCGTACCTTATGCATGGATCACATGCTCTTCTGACTTACACCCAGCGAAGAGCTGCGAGCTGTTAGTTGCTAACACAAAATCACACTGTTTCACTGCGACCCAGTGACTCATATACTATTGGAAGATGAATGGGATCCAGACAAAGGCATTTCAAATTCGGCATGATTCGTCGCAGGAGTGTATACAGTTTGAGAGAGGCACTATCTGACGCGACGCATTGAGTCTGATTCAAGCCTTGCAGTGGAAGTCTGTCGGACAGCGCAGCGCAAACAACTTCGGCTTTCTCAGATGAAACCGGAATCATAGCCAGAACAGCACTGCTGCACCCGCGAACAGTCAGGACCTTTCTCAGAGCGCTCTCGTCATCGAAGGGAGCCTCATCTCTTACTGCCTTTGCAGCTCGCCAAGGCGCCTGGCCGAGAACTGGCAGAGTACATTTCATCGTGCCATCTATGGACAGGTACTGAAATTCTCTCTTCTGCAAGAAAAATGTCATGGCATCGTTCTGCAGTGTCCTCAAGGCAGGAGACGAGAATATGTCTTCGATGATGGGCCACCAATCTTTGACGTGACGAGGCATTAGTGAAGCCAGCTCACAGCCTGCTGCCATCATCGATACCAATATTCGCGGAATAGCAGCTTTGCATTTA